AACCGACTGTCACCTGGCCAACAGACAGCAAGGGTTTATGGGAAATAAACGGCGACACAGATAAACATGTCCAAACAGCTACGACAGAACCAGGACGGGTCGTATATGTCGTAGGAAACCCCCCGGTGATATGGGACCGTATGCCTCACTGACTGACTCACTGACGCAGTCACAGACTGGTGTCTGACCCAGAATTTCTCCACCAACATCTGGCACATTTAAATCAACTGTCAGATGTTTGACTTTGATGCCTCCTCTCCTCATTCCAACGTCTTTCGTCTTCATGACCTATAATTTTCATCCCCCCAACTTCTGGTTTGTTCAGCCGTGCGATCTCTCCGTAACTCCGTTACGGTGGGAGGAGAAAGAGAACGATTTTGTGTCTGGTCGCCCCCCCCCCGAGCAGATTTACATGTTTGCGATATGTTTTGCTCTGAATAATGCATTAATGCATGGAGTTCTGCAGCTCTGCACCGAGCGCCGCCGCCGCCGTGGATTTCAATTTGAATCATTTGAGTCCACACACGCGTGAAGAGATGTGAGTGACACATAAAGAGCAACAAATAGGGAAACATGCATGTGTTTCCAATGCTTACTTTGGGAATAACAAGATCTGTGTGTGTGTCTCTTTGTCATCCACACATCAAATGCACAACGCACTCCCCGGAAAATGGGAGGTGGCATGAATATGAATGAAGGAGGGCAGATTAGCATGCTAACGGCTACGGAGGCCTAAAGATTTATGTCTAGCTTATATTTTAAACAGCAGTCAGAAAACAGCCCGCAGGCCTGACTTATTTATAGGACTCCACTCTTATACACATACATGTGCACACACACACGCACACACACACCAATAGTTGCAATGATAACAGCATGTGTCGTGACGAGAATCCCACAGAAACCTCAGCGTTTCCCAGCAGACAGAGAATTCACCAGTTTACTAATGCAGCGCTGGGTCTGTCGTCCTGCCTCCCTTATCTGTCTGTCTGTCTGTCTGTCCATCTGTCTCTGTCTGTCTGTCTGTCTGTGTCTGTCTGTCTGTCTGTCTGTGTCTGTCTGTCTGTCTGTCTGTGTCTGTCTGTCTGTCTGTCTGTGTCTGTCTGTCTGTCTGTCTGTGTCTGTCTGTCTCGTCTGTCTGTGTCTGACTGACTGTCTGTGTCCATCTGTCTGTCTGTCTCTGTCTGTGTCCGTCTGTGTCTGTCTGTCCGTCTGTCTGTCTGTCTGTGTCTGTCTGTCCGTCTGTCTGTCTGTCTGTGTCTGTCTGTCCGTCTGTGTCCGGCTGTCCGTCTGTGTCTGTCTGTCCGTCTGTCTGTCTGTCTGTGTCTGTCTGTCTGTCTGACTGTCTGTCCATCTGTCTGTCTGTCTGTCTGTGTCTGTCTGTCTGTGTCTGTCTGTCTGTCTGTCTGTCCATCTGTCTGTCTGTCTGTCTGTGTCCGGCCGTCTGTCCGTCTGAATCCTCACTCTGTAATCCTGTATGTTTACTCAAGCTCTGAACCAAACCTTTGCTCACGCTGTGATAAAAACTAACGAGTACCTTCCCTGTGGTCCAAACACGCGCATGAGCCAAAAAAAAAAAAAAAAAAAAAGGGGCTCCCCCCCCAATTTTTTTTGGGGCTTTTCTCTCTCTGGAGGGGT